GCAGGAGACATCTCTGCCTTCGGCCACCTGCAGAGCCAGGCTGTGTGCCCCTCTGCCCTCCTGTTCTTGCAGGCCCCCAGCTGGTGGACCAGGCAGCCTGCATCCCTGGTGGGTGGGAACCAGGAATTCTGCACACAGAAACATCTGGCCCAGAGCCCACCAGTTTTTGCTTCCCAGCCCCTCTCTAGACACTCCTGGCTGCTGGACACCCTCTCTTCACTTGTGATGTGTTTGTTTATAGTGGAAAGAAAACCATAGTCAGCTGAATACTTCTGTCAGGGTTTGTGACCAGTCCACCTGTAGCTGTGGGGTGATTCCAGAACCTGGTTCCAGTATTTTTTGTTCAGATTTTGTTTTTCTAACGGTAGAGAAAAAGAATTGTTAGTGACACAGAAAGACTGCCTTACCCTAAGTGAGCTTGAGAAGCCATAAGGACTGAATTCTGTGGCCCGGCACCCAGGACTGACCCACCCAGAGGCTGGTGGGCATGTGGGTTGGAAGGAAGCCCACATCCCACAGAGGAGGGGCACCAATGAGTGTGGCCAGGGCCTGGCTTGGGGCACGGAGCCGCCCCTGTGGCCCACGGGAATTCAGCAGCATGTACAGTCACTCTTGCACTACACCTTCTCCAAGCCAGAAACCACATTTAATTTCATAAAGAAACTTGTGAAAAATAACCTGGCTGCCGGCCCTTGTTTTCTGTGCATTTTTTTGTCCCCTCACCACTTATCTGTTTCTACCCCAGGCCTTTCCTAAGACTAGAGGAATGAGCTAGGCCGCCAGGGCTTTGGTGGACAGAGGCTTCAGAGAGGCTCCGGGTAACTGGGAGCTGTCTCAGCATCTCCCTGCCTGGCTGCTTCCAGAGTCAGTCTGTTTAGCTGAAGTGAGTTTGGGGGACAGGCAGTCCGTAATCTTTCTGGGTCTCACCTTCCTCCTTGGTGAAATGGGGAAGGATGTGTCTTCCTCCCAGGAGGACCCAGGCCACAGGACCACAAGAGAAGGAACAAGGGTGGCTTCCCTCCCCTTCCCCACAACCTGCTACCTTCACTCCCATACACACTGCCTAGGTCACTGGGGCTGAGCCTGAAACCCCTGGCCTTCCTATCTTAAAGAGACACTACACCTTCCATCCAGGCCAAGCCACCTGGAGACAAAACCTATGGGGAAAAATGAAAATCACAATATGCAACACAAGTCAATCTTTATTGAAAACTGCAGTATTAATACATAACAATTCTTGTTACAATAAACGTGCTTTTAAGAATTTTAAATCTGAGCTCATCTACTCATCAGATTGCATAAAAAATTAAAATAGTACGAATTTACACATAATGGAATTGGCTCAGGATGGGTGTCCCATTCCTTTGTATCGATTGACACCTTAAGTTCAATGCAGAGGTGAGGGGGGGCCTTTAACACTGGAAGACAATGCTGACTTAAGTTTTAAAAAAGTACTATGAGAACGGTCTAAAAAAAAAGAACAGTATTCCAAAATCGTTTTAAAAAAAAAACAAAAAACAATTTCCTAGTAACAGTGGCTCCCTGGGGTCTCTCTTGAGTGGCCATCACAGTAACACCGCCAGGAACACATGAGAGCTGGCCTCAGGTCCAGCCCAATTAGTCTACCAACCACTGATCTGCATGAGGACCTACAGGAGACTCCAACAGGGCTCAGGAGGCCAAGCCAAGACACTTGTCATCTCCAACACACCAATCCTGGGAGCACAGCATCCCCTGAAGCTCACTGCAGGCTCCCTGCACAGAGATGCCAGCCTCTCCTCCGTCTCCCTGTCCCAAGTGACTTGACGTTTGATCCCAGGGATTCAAATAAGATTACCCCAGAGGTTTTCTGTTCAAGTGAATACAGTGGGGAAAGAGACAAATCCTCTGAAACATGTAAGATCAACTCTGCAACTTTCTACCTGAAAAGATCAGACCCTCCTTTGCAGCGTGTCCTCTGCAGGCTCCTTTCAGAAAGCTCAGGTTGAGTAACAAACAGCTCAGGACAAAAAAACACACCAACATGTGAAATGTGCTAGAGAGGAGAGTCACGTGGGCCACCCTTCCCCTATGCCAACCACTCCTCTCTAGAGACACACCCGTCCTTAGAAAGCACCAAGAGAAGAACCAGAAGCTGCCCCCCACCTCGAGCCCCACACCCTTAAGCCTGCCCTTGCACGGCCAGAGGAAGTCAGGCAGGCGTCCCGTCTGGGCAATGCCCAGGCTGGCAAGAACTGGGGTGTCCAGCCGTTAGCTGCCAGATAGGGAGAGGGTGGCCCAACTGGTCAGAGTAATACTGTTTCCAAATGTTTACAAAGGACAGGTGAAGAAGTCTGGGTTTCCTTCTTAAAAAGCAGGCCCCAATACTGATGCGTCTGGTGCCTGCCATCCTTTCTCCACCTGCTGGCAGGACAGCACTACCAGAGATTAGTACATCCCAAGCCCCAAGAATCTGTTTCTTCTTGTTTGAAGTGCCGATGCCAGCAGATGGAGCGAGGCACTGCATGCCCAGCCTGGGAAGGGCAGGGCGCGTACCGACCAGTTGTCCAGCCCACAGCTCAGGACCACACTCGACTCCTGTAAATACTACATTTGCATAGCACTCAAGAAACAGAGTCACATAATACAACTGGTAGGCTTAATAACCAAACCAATAAGAATGTTGAGAAAAGGTTGAACACAAGAGACGTAAAAGATTCTGGAAGTGCTTCTGTGCTTGTCACCATGAATGGCCCTGGCCCGGATGCTGGCCTCAGTTCTCAAAGGCAGCAGGATGACGGGACCATCACTCATCGTGAAACGTTCAGTCACCCGGCCCAGATCCAAACAAGATTTCCCTAAGCAGAGAAACATAACTTCTAAACCTTAGAGGAAGGCTGAAGAATAAAATTTTAAAAAAATATCCATGAAAAAAAAATATATATCCATGATGATACCTATGTTTATAGGAATTAGTTCCTTTACTTGCCTGTCTCAACTTCTAAAATAACTGTAATTTAGCTGAAAGACTCTCAAATTAGGAATGTCACATATAAAAAATGCAAAATTTCTCTGAATGTTCTACTATTGTGCTTAGGATATCAAATATGCAACTTTATAACAGAAGCTCTATTCCTTAGTTAATTTTACTGGAACTAAATGCTGCTAAAATTACAACATATGATAGTTTTGTTACTATTCATTATATCCAGATTCTCACCTGCTAGACAAGATCTACCTTCCATATTTGGTAGCTGATGCCGACAGTTTCAAAATTGAAAAGATTTCCACAGAGATGTATTCCATAATGCAAAAGTATTTGATGAAGTCTCCCAACTCAACTTCACAAAAGGGAAATAAGATTTTTTAAGAAATTACAGGGGGGAGAGTGTTTATAAAGCTGATGTAAATGGGGAGAAAACGAAACCCACTCTTTTCTTTCTCTTGAAAACACCATTTAATTCAGTGCTCGTGAAAACACTCACCCTGTGTGTGCCAAGTCTCAGGCAAGCTGGAAGAAACAGCCTATATAATTTCTCATAACTTCCTCCTGAATTCAAATGAGTCCAATCTTTACAGGTAGTGGCGTGTGTGTTTCTGTGTGTGCGCACACTGGGACGTTTAAAAAGCATATCCTAAACTCTTATTTTCTCCTAACTTATTACGCTAAACTGGGGAAACCAACTTCTCTGTTCAGCCCCTGGAACCCTTAGAACATATTGGTATTACAAACCGTCCACTATACAGATGGAATTACCAACAAAGAGTTGAGGAAGTGGACAGTGTGCCTGGGGTAAATGGCTGCTACTCACACACACACACACACACACACACACGAATACACACATACAAAGGTGGGTTAAGTGCTCTTGAAGCAATTTAAAGTACTTATCAGTAAACACACTATGTTACAGACATTAGAAATAAATCTTCTGTTTACAATGATCCATGCAAAAATATTCCTAAAACTCTTATAAAATAAAATGTGAAAAAGAAAACTATGAAGAGTACTTACTATAAAAAATAAGGTTACCAAAGGCTCAGGGGTCAGGTATCCACTCACCATCCGGGGCTGAACGCCACCCCAGTGCCGGAGCCCTGACCAGCTGCCAGAGCCGAAGGAGAGAAAGGCGCCCTCCCCACCAGAGGCCCACAGCGCTTGAAAGATGACGGGGTGGAGCACAGGGGAACCCCCACCCCTGACAGACCACTGAAAGGGAACAGCCCTCACCCCCAACCCCCTCCGACTTCTTCTGAGGACAGACACACACACACACACTCATTGATACAAGTTGGGCACATTTAGGCAAAAAATCCTCTTGGTTTCTTATGTACAATATTCAGATTTTAAACACAAAATCTTTTCTGTGATAAGTTCCGGCAGGCAAACACGTTCTGATGCTGCCTGACCCTTTGCTGTCCACACGTGCTTTGTGCTGAGTGTCCCCAGCCGCGAGAAGAGATGGCCAAAGGGGCTCACAGACAACAGGCGCCAGCCCTTCCCTCACACCTCCCCACAGCCATCTCCACGAGCGCCCTCCAGGTGGTCTCAGAGGACAAGTCCCCATCGAGTGCATGGGCCGAAACACAGCCACAGCCCTGCCTCTCTACAAGGAACAATCAATATCCAATAAAGTTCTGTTCCCTTTTAAAAGTTCTTAAATATACAACTTTCTTCATAACACACAGCTGAATGAAGTCTTTGCCCTTCTTTGTGGGACGGAGAACAACAATGCCTACATGTTTTCAGGTGACTCAGACATTTCCTGGGGGGGGTGGGGGTGGGGGAAAGGAATGATTTTTCTAAGCTAAATAAAGGAGAGGCCAATACCTCCTCCAAGTGTGGCTGGTTCTCTTTCACATATCTCCCATCCCAGGAAAATAATTTAGCTCTGCATAGGACTTTTCCATTAAACACATAGAAAACATCATCTCCATCTGTAAGAGATTTGTAATGAAAATTTAGATGGCAGAGAAAATTGCTTTGCTGATACATAAACCACCTTGTGTCCCTAACTGGATTCATGGTAATCCCTAAGGACGTCCACATCACACTGACCCCACAAGCCTAAATGGAGAGAAAGCCATTAACCTGGCTGGACCCCAAGCAGCGGTGGCCTCCCCACACTCTCCCCGTCCCTGCAACTCTCTCCCAGTGCAGTCCGTGCAAAAGGAACAGATGGGTGGAAACGAAAGTCCACGTTTCCAACTGGCAACCCACGTCAACCCCAAAAGGCTGAAGAATCATCAAAGAGATTTCAGATGCTCTATGAAGAAATTCACTTTAACACTTATAACTTTAAGACTTTGCATACATTACAACAGTGCATTAGTGATACAAGTTGTAAAATACTTTTCCATTCCTTTGGATTTTGCATATGATGGTTCTGCATCAGTCACTGCAGGTAGATTGAGCAAGCTTTGTTTTCGTGTTTGTTTTTTTTAACATGCATTCAACTAGATATGATTCAGAACAGATTAACACTCCCTTTTTATCATTACAGTTAGCTAAAAAATTGCCTGGCAGCCCACCAAACAGGATTTGCTTTAAGACCAACCCACAGAGTCAGTTGGAGACTGAGGGTGCTAGGACCTGCTGGGCCGGCCGTAGTAGTGTTTAGCTAAGTGTCGAGAGCATTAAGAAGAAAGTCCTGGTTGGAGGCACAAGGCCTGCAGCACCAGCTGTGGAACCTCCATGATGTGACTGCACAGCTCCATCCACAAACCTGGGGGGGTGGGGAGAAAGACGGACACAGTCACACACAGCTCCTCTGGCACCACTGCTCAGAAAAGGAGGCATTCAACTGGAGGAGGAGATCCACTAGGACAAGAAAGGGCAGCAGCAAGAGAGGCAGCCATGCTGGTTCCCATGGACCCCAGAGACTTCCAGTTACAACTGGAGTCCTACTTCCTGCAGGAGGCGGGCAGGAGACTAGAGCACAGCCCAGGTAAGGGACACAGTGCAGGGGGTGCACAGCAAGAACTCAATGGTTTCCTTTTTCTTTCCTCTGCAGAGTCCCAATAAGGACAAAAATTTAAACGCTGCATTGCCTTTGGATCATCAGGTAGCATTTTTCTTGGCAGTATTTAAACTGACACAGATCTCCCATTCTCCTCTTAAAAAAATGCACTTTAGTCACAAGCTGGCCCTGGGCTTCACCAGTCACTTACGTTTGCAGGGTGATCACCACTGGGGGGGCACATAGCTGTAGGTGGGCGTTCCTGGGGCCCGATACGTGGGCACGGTGACGGGGTGGGGGGCGACAGGAGTTGGGGAGTGGGCAGTCAGCAAGGTACCTGGAAGGAAGAGCAGGCATCTCAGTGGAGGGCAGCACCCCACCACTGCTCCCTCTTACAGGGGAGCTCCCGCCCGACCCCCGTGGCAAGGCGGGAGGCAGACAGGAAGAGGGGATGGCTCTGACCCACAATGCTCTCAGAACTCTTGATTATATACAAGTCAAAGCTGTATAAACACAGCAAGCTCGCATGGATAGCATGTCTGCAGAAGCCTTTGGGCCTCCTCTCCATAAAAGCATACCGTATTATTTTTGCAGATGAGGTGATAAAAAGAAAACAAAAATATTATTCGGCATTAAAAAGGAAGGAAATTAGTCACATGCTACAACACGGATGAACCCCGAGGACATTATGCTCAGTGAAATAAGCCAGTCAAAAAAGACAAATTCCGCATGAGTCCACTTATACGAGGTCCCTAGAGAAGTCAAATGGATAGTGACAGAAAGGAGAATGGTGGTTGCCAGGGTCTGGGCCAAGGGGAAGGGGGAGCTGTTTAATGGGTACAGAGCTTCAGTTCTCCAGGACGAGAAAGTTCTGGAGATGTGACACCACAGTGTGATAACAGCACTGACCTGTACACTTGGGTTATGGTGGTAATAAATAACTGGAAGAGAGGGAGAGAGGGAGGCGGAGGGAGATTCCCAACTACATGAACTTCTGAGTACCGTAAGCTAAGCATGTTTTCCCTGAAACTGCAGAAAACTCGGCTGTGTCCATTCATGGACAAGCCCCACCTCGAAGCTACGGCCTCACCCAGCAGCCCTCCTCTCCCCCTCCTTCCTGCCTGCACCCACACCAGGGCACCCACACCAGGGCCTGCCATCCCCGCCCTCCATGTACCGCAAACACGCAGTTTCTATCTGTGCCAGACTCTCCTCCGCCTTCACGGGTAAGTATGGGAAAACCAAATAAAATAGACTCTAAGCAGAAACACACATTGTATCCTGAAACACCATTCTCTCCTGACACGTTTTCCTTATACTGAAGTCTAGGAAAACAAAGAGGGAACTATATATATATATATATATATATATATATATATATATATATATTTTTTTTTTTTTTTTTTTTTAGACCCAGCCATGGGCAACCAAACGCATTGTGTGTACCTGGCCCCTCACCACAGACAATTCACATGCCCACAGGAGGTAACCTAATCCCTAGACATTCAGTCAAGCCCTCAAACACTCCAAGGTTCCATGGAGACAGGCCCATTCCAGCCACGGGTCTCTTCTCTCTGTGGTTTAGTTTCAAGACCTAGGGGAAGCCTTGGGAGATAAAGTCAACGTACGCCAAAGGATTTCTACAGGCAGCTGTTATCTCTATGAACACAAGACCGGCTTCCCTAGATTCATAGAAACATCCCCGTTCAGACAACTTGGCCTACGCTGGTATCCCACACTGAAGGGGAGGATCAACAGGGCCAGCCCCCAGATCACAAAGTAATATATATATATATATATATATATATTTTTTTTTTTTATTTCCTAAAGACCCAGCCATGGGCAACCAAACGCATTGTGTGTACCTGGCCCCTCACCACAGACAATTCACATGCCCACAGGAGGTAACCTAATCCCTAGACATTCAGTCAAGCCCTCAAACACTCCAAGGTTCCATGGAGACAGGCCCATTCCAGCCACGGGTCTCTTCTCTCTGTGGTTTAGTTTCAAGACCTAGGGGAAGCCTTGGGAGATAAAGTCAACGTACGCCAAAGGATTTCTACAGGCAGCTGTTATCTCTATGAACACAAGACCGGCTTCCCTAGATTCATAGAAACATCCCCGTTCAGACAACTTGGCCTACGCTGGTATCCCACACTGAAGGGGAGGATCAACAGGGCCAGCCCCCAGATCACAAAGTACCCCCCTCTGCCCAAGCTCTATGTGCTCGCCATAGGCATCTGGTCACTCCTTGTCCCTACAGCCAAGTGACTCAGCTCTCCAAAAAAAGTGGCCCCATCCCATTTGGAGAGGGCTACTCAGTCATGGTCTATGGAAAAGGTACTTGGTTCATGGTCTAAACCCCACACTCCAGTCTCAACTGAAAGGAGAGCGAAGAGAAAGGAGGGGAGGTAAAGAAAAACATAACATGCCATTTCTTCCCAAAAGGATCAGATGTCCTTCCACACAACCCTAGCCATGAAAAGTCAAAGCCAAGGGTCAGAGTATTGGTGAGCTCTCCCTTCCCCCAGCCCTCATGCCATCACACAGCAGGCACCCCAGGGCCAAGGACTCACCCGCTGACATGGCCATAGTGGTCCCCGCCACCATGCCCATGGTGACGCCGTTGCCTCTAGGCGGAGGGATGGCAGCAGGGTACACCGTCGCCGGCATGCCGTTAGGCTGCACCACTGTGGTGTGGTGGATGACGTGAGGGGGTGCTGCATACAGGGGCTGGGGGTAGTACGTGCCTTGCTGGGGAAAGAAGAGAGACGAGGGCCACAGGGTCCCACACCCAGAGGGTCAGAGCCCCGAGGAACCGGCCCTTCCCACAAGCACAGTGCCCAGGAGACCCCGTAAGACACCCACAGTGCGCCCCAGGCCTACCTGTGCATACGGGCTCTGCTGGGGGTAGGCACTTCGCACGGGGTATACAGCGGTCTGGTAGGGGTTGGGGGAGGAGGAGTACGGTGGCACCGCCCCGCTGGTGGGGGAACAGGACACTTTGTAAGGTGTGCCAGGAGTGTAACCTGAAACAAAGAAGCCCAAAGCCTTAATTCAAACCCACACTCGGCCAGACACAGGGGACGGACCAAGTGTGCAGCGAGGAACGAGGCAGTGTTCCAGCCCTGACCACAGTCATATCTGACACCTCTGCTAAGACGTGGCTTCACTGCTTAGACTTTATGTGCAAGTATTTTTTTTTTCGGGGGCGGGGGAGAAAGTTCTACCGAGTGCATACTTACATAGGAACAGGAAAGAAACACTGGTCCTGTCGGAATTTAAATTAGCACGCCCTTGCTGGGGCACAATTTGGCATTAAAAGTATGTATGTCTTTTAACCCCACCATTCTACTTCTAGAAATTTGTTTTAAAGAAACAAGCACAGCACATAAAAAGATGCTCAACATAGCTCGTCATCAGGGAAATGCAAATCAAAACCACAGTGAGGTATCTATCGCCTCACATCTGTGAGAATGGCTATGAATAAAAAGAACACAAATAACAAATGTCAGTGAAGCTGTGGAGGAAAGGGAATCCTCGTACACTGTTGGTAAGAACACAAATTGGTATAGCCACTATGGAAAACAGTATGGAAGTTTCTCAAAAAACTAAAAATAGAACTACCACATGACTCAGCAATTCCACTCCAGGGTATTTATCCCAAGAAAATGAAAACGCTAATTTGAAAAGATACAGGTATCCCAATGTTCATAGCAGATTTACAATTGTCAAGATAAAAAGCAACCCTAAGTGTCCATCAACAGATAAAGAAGATGTGGGAAACACACACATACATAGGGTCGCACACGGGACTGCTACTCAACCATAAAAAAAGAAGGAAACTTTGTCATTTGCAACATGGATGGACTTGGAGGGTATTATGCTAAGTGAAATAAATCAGAAAGAGACAAATACTGTATGGTATCACTTATATGTAGAATCTAAAAAATACAACTAGTGAATACAACAAAAAAGAAGCAGACTCACAGATATAGAGAACAAACCAGTGGTTCACTGGAGAGGGAAGGGAGGAGGGGGGCAACATAGGGGTAGGGGATTCAGAGGTACAAACTACAAGGACACACACAGGGAATATAGCCAATATTTACAGTAACTATAAATGAAATATAACCTTTAAAAACTGTGCATCACTGTATTGTACACTGGTAACATAAAATACTGTACATCAACTACACTTCAATTAAAAAAGAAAAAAAGAAATAAGCGTGGATTTGAACAAAGGCTGAACTGTAAGCATGCTCATCACAGTGTTGTTAATTACAGCAAAAACAAAAGGAAAAACTTGTCAAACACCAGGGTTTTGCTAAAAAGATTTCTGGGTCTAAGGCTGAACAGCATACTTTTGCCTTTGTCCCCACCCAAAATGACAATAAAGCAGATTAATAAATAAAAAGACACAAAGCCACACAGATCAAGAAGAGAAGACATTTTAGAACCTAATAATTTTGGAATCTTTTTAAAAGTACAAGTGGAAAATAATTTAGCAGACTCAAAAAAGCTGTACTCTCAGCCAGCAGTGAAGAGGGTCAAGCAGCAGCCTGACACCTGGAAAGCCCCTTCCCCTAGACCTAGAAGCTGTCAGCATGTGTTGCCAGGAAGTGACGAAGGACCACGATCTGGAAGAGGGATTCAGAGGCTACCTGGTAAGCAGTAAGATGCCTGGTTCCCCTCCTGACTCCCCATTCCAACGGAGGAGTTTTTCTCCAGGAAGGTTAAGAGAGGGTCCCTGAATTGCCACGTTCATAGCCCACTGATTTATATAGACTAAACCACCAGCAAACTGTGGTACAACCATACAACAAAATACTACTACTCAGCAACCAAAAGGATAGAACTGCTGATACACATAACATGGGATAAATCTCAAAAAAAAAAAAAAAAAGGAAAATACAATATGTAAAAGAAGTCAGACACAGTAACACATGATACGAAACTCTAGGAAAGACCAACATAATCTACAGAGACAGAAAACCAATTAGTGGTGCCCAGGGGCCAGAGGGCATGAGTGCATCTTTCACAGGAATGAAGTCACTTGACTGTTTGTGGTGTCACACATCTGTATACATGTCCAAACACACCAAACTGTGCACTTATAAAGGATGGCTTATATGCAAATTATACCTCAATAAAACTGCTTTCTAAAAAGTCTGAGAAGCCATTTCTCATTCACTAGAACGGCTGAGATGGCAGAGTGCTCACACGAGTTCCATGGAACAATACAACTTCTCATAAAGCTACAAATATACTTCCCATAGGGCCCAACAATTCACTCCTAGATACTTTCCCTAGAAGAATGAAAACATACTTCCACAATAGGACTTGTAAAAAATGTTCACCAATCTTACTCATAATAGCCAAAAGATGGGAAATAATCCAAATGTTTATCAAGAGGAAAATGGGTAAATTATGATACATCCACATAAATACTACTCAGTATCAAAAGGCAAAAGCATGAATGAATCTCAAACCACGCTGACCTTTTAAAAGACACCAGACACAGAGCACATACTGCATGATCTCATTTTCAACACTTAAATAAACCTAGCTATGGTGACAGAAGTCGGGGGGAGTGGTGTATGATTTGGAGAGGGTGAAAGGAAAGCCTAGGATGATAAAATTGCTCAGAATTGGGCTTCCCTGGTGGCGCAGTGGTTGAGAGTCCGCCAGCCGATGCAGGGGACACGGGTTCGTGCCCCGGTCTGGGAAGATCCCACATGCCGCGAAGCGGCTGGGCTCGTGAGCCATGGCCACTGAGCCTGCGCATCTGGAGCCTGTGCTCCACAAAGGGAGAGGCCACAGAAGTGAGAGGTCCTCGTACCGCAAAAAAAAAAAAAAAAAAAAGTGCTCAGTATTTTGTTTTGGGTGGTGGTTACGCGAGTATGACAATTGTCAAAATCCATCCAAATGAACATTTAATATGTGGGTGATTTGCATAAATTATATCTCAATCTTAAAAATGAGCTGAGTATTAAAAAAATGAAAGTTTAAAAAATTTAAACCACTTTATTGAACTGTGTTTAGCGGTGTACTTATATTTTAATTTAAAAGAGAAAAAAAGAATGAATGACTTCCAGGATATACACTAGTTTCTTTTTGTTGTTCTTTTTTTTAACATCTTTATTGGAATATAATTGCTTTACAATGGTGTGTTAGTTTCTGCTTTATAACAAAGTGAATCAGCTATATGTATACATATATCCCCATATCCCCTCCCTCTTGCGTCTCCCTCCCACCCCTCTAGGTGGTCACAAATCACCGAGCTGATCTCCCTGTGCTATGCAGCTGCTTCCCACTAGCTATCTATTTTACATTTGGTAGTGTATACATGTCCACGCCACTCTGTCACTTCGACCCAGCTTACCCTTCCCCCTCCCCGTGTCCTCAAGTCCATTTTCTACGTCTGCATCTTTATTCCTGTCCTGCCCCTAGGTTCTTTAGAACCATTTTTTTCCCCTTAGATTCCATATATATGTGTGGAGTCTCAGGATTTGGAAAAGCAACGTTAAAGACAAGAGCAACGTTAAAGACAAGGCAAAAACAAATACGGTATTTGTTTTTCCCTTTCTGACTTACTTCACTCTGTATGACAGACTCTAGGTCCATCCACCTCACTACAAATAACTCAATTTCGTTTCTTTTTATGGTTGAGTAGTATTCCACTGTATATATGTGCCACATCTTTATCCATTCATCTGTCGATGGACACTTAGGTTGCTTCCATGTCCTGGCTACTGCAAACAGAGCTACAATGAACATTGTGGTACATGACTCTTTTTGAATTATGATTTTCTCAGGATATATGCCCAGTAGTGGGGTTGCTGGGTCATGTGGTAGTTCTATTTTTAGTATTTTAAGGAACCTCCATACTGTTCTCCACAGTGGCTGTATCAATTTACATTCCCACCAACAGATACACCAGTTTTAAATGGTATTTTTTTTGAACCACAAGTCCCCCTTTCCTCCAAGGGGCCAAGTCAGTCCTGGAGACCCACTAAGAACCATCATGCACTTGGTATGCCTGGGTTCACTAAGACCTTAAATGCCATGTTTCTTGTTTATTCCCCAGACTGTCCCTCATGGTGTTCATGATGAAGATGCTGGTAAAGGTGTTAATGCCCCAAAGTCACACACATCAGAGCAGGTGCTCAGACAAACCCAGATCCAGCTGCACTGAGCAATGACTCCTTTGCCCAAACCAGGTAATTCCCAAGCTCAGCTCGTATCTGTTTTAAGGAGAAAAGACCCTCACAGGTTTCCCTATTTCTGTGTTTTAGAAAAAAAATTTTGTATTGAAGTATACTTGATTTACAACATTGTGATAGTTTCAGGTAGACAGCAAAGTGATTCAATTACACACACACACACACACACACACACACACGCGGGTTTTTTTCATATTCTTTTCCATTATACGTTATTCTAAGATATTGAAATAGTTCCCTGTGCTATACAGTAAATTCTTATTACTTCTCTATTTTATGTATCTATTTGTATCTGTTAATCCCATACTCCTAATTTATCCCTCCCCTCTCCCTTTCCCCTTTGGTAGACTGAAGTTTGTTTTCTATGTCTGTGAGTCTGTTTCTGCTTTGTATATAGATTTATTTGTATTATTTTTTAGATTCCACATATAACTGTCTTTGTCTTTCTGTCTGACTTACTTCACTTAGTATAATATTCTCTAGGTCCATCCACATTGCTTCAAATGGTAATTATTTCATTCTTTTTTATGGCTGAGTAACATTCCAACATACACACATATACCGTGCCTTTTTAAACCAATCACCTGTTGACGGGCACTTGGGTTGTTTCCACGTCTTGGCTATCGCAAATAGTGCTGCTATGAACACTGGGTATCTTTTCAAATACGAGTTTTTATCTTTTCCGGATATATGATCAGGAGTGGGATATATGATATCCCACATATATCATATATATGATATATGATCAGGATTGCTGGATTATATGGTAGCTCTATTTTTAGTTTTTGTTTTATTTACTTATT